GCTGAGGCTGTAGCTGTAGGTGGGCTTCACAGCAATTTGTCTGTGGGTAATAGGATATTTTGTAGCTGAAGAATAAAACTCAGTTTATAGTAATATAAAAGGAAGACCGCTTAATAATAGTTGCATTTTATGTGAATTGGGCTTCCGCCATTACTGCTATCTAGGATTTAATTTCAATTTGAATTGAGGAATTGCATCTGGGTGAATAGGAGACACAAGATGGATGCAATTACAGTCACTGTATTTGTGATATAGGAGCCGAGTACCTAAACTTTTAGCACTTTAGTTTCACTAGTGGTGATGAGACTGTTTTCAAAATGGAAGTGATGCTTCCTTTTTCTTTTCAAAATGAAAAGTTTTGTTATTAGTCTCACATTTTCGTGAGACTTTTATTTGTTAAGTGATATTATACCTCAATGTACATCTGTTTCTTTGAGACAAAACAAAATCCATTGCTGCAGACTGCTCTGAGGGTCGTGCTTCCTGAAAGCATCCTCTTTATTCTTAGCTTACGCGTTTCTGCATCAGCTAATTAGATTTTTGTGGTGAGCTATTTCAGTTCAATTAGTCTTGAAGTCAGTTTGTTTCACAGCTTCTGTTAAACTGTACAGTTATGTAAAAATAGGTTTTTATCTTTTCCCTGTGAGAACAGAGGAACTTTTCCACCTCTTTGTGGGAAATGGCATAAGGCAAGTATAAATTCTTATAATTAAGATGTGTAGCTAAATATACCTTCTGGAGATGCAAGTGCTCAGCATATCAGTTGCTTTCTGTGAGGGAAATTGCAAATATCCAGGACCTCACTTAAGTTCATGACTTGCTTGCTTGTTAGAAATTTAGGCAGCTGTGTCTTATACCAGAGTCTGCATGAAACTAGAAGAGCTGAGGTAGTATAAACCCCAGAATTTGACTCCTGGTCTTGTACCCTTTGTTTTTCATGACAGAGCTGAAAGTTAATCAGAATGCAGAGCACCTCTAAGTGCTCTGTGTTGCTGGATTTTTAGTTATAGTACATACAAGGATGCCTTTTTTTTTTTTCCTGTTCTCCTTTAGAGTAAACAATTTATTCTGTAGTAGTAGGACACTTCTGTTTAGTTAACTTTGCTTCTGTCCCTAATCTCTATCCTGGTCCTCCTGGTCACACAATATGATGACTGGAGTGTGTTTTGGGGTTTTTTTTAAATGTGGTTTTAGAAAAAATAACACAACTTGTGCAGCCTGGTAGCTGACTACTTGGTAGCAGGATCCCTGTTTTCCAGCCTTACTAGGCTTAACTTCCTTTTGAAATGATTTGACAGGGTGGCTCATTATATTTCCTTGATACTCCCCCAGTATGGCTGGGGAAGTTACTGACCTTATTTCTGCTTTCAGTATTTGGGGAGTTTTCCATTAGTTAAATTGTGACATGAGCGATACCTGCTTCTCCATTAAGATGTTGGATTGCCCATCCAAAGTGTAAGGGCTTCTAATGAAAGTTTCTGTGGGAGAAATAAACTTGGAAATCAGTAGCCAAGCAGGTCACAGTTCTGTGGTAGCAATGCTGCACCGAGGGACTTCAGGAGTTTTTTCTTTCTTATGTTTTGTTTGAGTTCATCTCCCTGAGTCTCCTGTTCCACGTTGGGCTAGGCAAAGAGCCCAGGCATGCATTTCCTGGAGAGAGGCACAGAATGAATGCCTGCAGAGCTGTGTTTTCTTCTGATAAAACAACAAAATACAGATTTTGGTCACTGAGAGTCAGGAAGACTTGTCTGCTCCCTCCGAAGGAGGTGGTAGGAAAAAAGGAAGTAAGTCTGAATTCAGCATGAGCTTTAAACAGGGGAGAGTCAGGAGGTAAAAGATGACAGAGGAGTTGAAAACTTACTTTACTGCTCATTTTTACTTAGCTGATACTATGAATGATTGACCTGCCTAGTAGATGTATATTTTAGTTAAATAGAACAAGCTGGGTACGCTGGTTTTGGCTGGGATAGAGTTATTTTCTACCATAGTAGCTGGTATGGGGCTGTGTTTTGGGTTTGTGCTGGAAACAGTGTTGATAACACAGGGATGCTTTAGCTATTGCTGAGCAGTGCTTACACACAGTCAAGGCCTTTTCTGCTCATCACCTCACCAGCAAGCAGGCTGGGGGTGCACAAGAAGTTGGGAGGGGACACAGCTGGGACAGCTGACCCCAGCTGACCAGAGGGATATTCCACGCCGTATGATGTCGTGCTCAGCACATACAGCTGGGGGAGGAAGGAAGGGGGAGATGTTCGGAGTGATGGTGTTTGTCTTCCCAAGTAACCCTTGCACATGATGGAGCCCTGCTTTCCTGGAGATGGCTGAGCACCTGCCTGCCTGTGAGAAGTGGTCAGTGAATTCCTTGTTTTGCTTTGCTTGAGTGTGTGGCTTTTGCTTTACTTATTAAACTTTATCTCAACCCGTGAGTCTTCTCACTTTTACCCTTCCGATTCTCACTCTCCCCCATCCCACTGAGGGGGAGGGTGAGCGAGCGGCTGTGTGGGGCTTAGTTGCTGACTGGGGTTAAACCATGACACTGGGTGACAATATTAAAAAAAAAAAAAATTAAAAAATCACCTAGTTGTGAAAAATCTGTCAAGAGAACTGCCTCTTCGTCGTACAGCTTGCCAGGTAACTTTTAGTGCCTTACAAAGCGCGTAGTTGATCTGTAATGATGGCTCATCTATCTGTTGAGAGGCCTAAATGCAGAGACAATTTCGAAATGGCTAATGGAAAAGTTGCCCAGCCCTCTGAAATGGTAGCTCTCTACATGGAGTGTGAACCTTGGCTGCTGTGGGGGAGTGGAAGTGTCACTTCTCGTGCGCTAGAAGGTCAAAGACTGAAAGCAAAGTTACTGCTTCTGCGATTGAAGAGGTGATTGCTTTACAAGGAAATAAACCGATATATTTCCTTCTCGTCTGATTTAATATTTTGCAGCCATTCCTCTTTTTATTGCATTCAGAATTGTTTAATGGCTCGTTTAAGATAATTAGTTTTAAATGGGAAATGGGAAGAGGTTAATTAGATGGACTGAAGTTTTCACATTGGCACTTTGAGTTAAGGCAAATGAATGTGACTTGGAGTAATGTAATCTTCTAATCGCTTATGATAACATCAGTTATGAATGTAAAAGCTGAAGGTTTCAATTTTGTCTTTAATTTTTTTTCAGGCAGGTTGGTTCATTGAATGAATAACTTGCATTGTTAAAACTGTACTTAGAGGGGAAACATATGGTTTTCCTGCCTGAAGACTGTACAAGTATTATATTGTGTTTTTAAAACCAAAACAAATTGAGAAGTTTGACTGAATGTCAACAACTGATTATAATCTTAATTGAAACTGGTCTGCAGTACTTGCATTTAATGGTGGAGTTCATAATGTGGTCTAAAAA